TTCCACGAAAATTCACGAATATACGAATTATACGTACGAACATACGAATCAACAAATAACAACAAACAAAGTTCCGATTTAAAATAAAGTTTCGGTAAACCGAACACGTCACAAATATAATGTGTAATATATGAAAACGACCGTATTAACGAGAGGATTCGAATAAGTTACCCGACTTCGGGAATCTACGAGAAATCGGATGGGAAACGGGCCCGACAGTGGGTCGAACAACCGGCTTTGGGACTTTGAACTCAAAAGCTTCGGAATACGCAGCTCATGAACTGCTGCGTGGACGTCTACGAATAACTGGGGATCTTGTCGGAGAGAACAGTGATGCCGTGACACCTGAATGAAGATTCCACCGGAAACAATGGAGACAGTGGGCTGTTGTCGGTTCGAGTGGACGGACTGCTCCAGGCTCGACGATACGGAGGTCGTTCGTTGGCGAGGAGGGCTCACGATCGGGACTGCTCGGAAGGACGCCGGTGAGGGTGGAGTTCGCCGGAATTACAAGTTCAATTTTTTTTTTTATGCAAGGGAACAGAGAGAGATTGGAGAAGAGGAGAGATTTGAATGATGAATTTGAAATCAATTCGATATAGCTGGGATGAATTTGGTCGGTCCTTATAGAAGGTGAGAGCGACGAGCGATGGGGGGGGGGGGATTTCTGCAGATAAATCGCAACAACAATTGAAATAGGAAGAAGACGACCAATTCTCGCAGAGGAAGCTGAGGAAAGGAACGGCCAAAACATTTTATCTGCTCACAACAATTTGGGTTTCTTCTTCTTGGGCCAAGGTTGATTAATACATTTGGGTCAAAATAAAACAAGAAATTGGGCCACCAATTTTAATTCAATTGGGCCAAGAAAATATCTCTTATTGGGTTTAAGTTGTTAACTCATGTTGGACCAAAGTTAATTGATCAAGTGATCGGAAATAAATTTAAATCGGGCTGAAAGGAATACAACGCGATAATAAAAATTCTCGCTCGATTCGATTTAATAAAATATGGCCCAGAATAAATAAGTAAAATCGTATTATTTATATTTATAATACACGCAATATATATATATATAATAATAATGAGCAAAATTACAATTAGACATTTAATCACAAATAAATATTTACTAATAATAATAATAATAAAAATAATGATATTAATATAAATAAGCAATAATAATGGCAATAATAAATCAATAAATAA